TAAGGAAATTGTTCCCCAGAGAAAGAGCTGAGGATGTGTCTGAACAATCTTTTCCCTCAGTAAAATCAAAGTCAGAGTATTTAGGCACACAAAAGGCTCTGAAAAAATAGTAAGTGACTCACGGATTCCCCCAGCCGTCTCAACAGAAACCAATAATAATAGAGGTAGTATTCTCTAGAAAAGACATATGGAGAAGGTTTTTGTCTAATGGAGTGAATCTCTGTGACTGAGACAGAGATCCATGAGGTTTTTGAGAATATTATAGCATAAACTCTGCCAGTTCAGACTGAAACAGAAAGAATATGAAATGAAAGAGCATTGTGAGACCCTCCCAAAATTCTACACGAAACAGGTTGATAAAACTAATCAGATGCAAAGTTTGTGCTAACCATTCATACCTGTAAAAAAGAAGGAGGAGAATAACTCTGAGAGGCCAAAATGTGAAACTGTGAATCCAGGGAGCAGAGCCATGAAACGCAGGGGATTATTCTCAGCACTGGAAACTAAATGAGGTTTGCCTGGTTGTATTTTTAAATTGCTTGCAGCTGTTGACTAATTTTTTTCCATTTTTTTAACCTTTTGAACAAGAATGTCTATAATTGATATCTTATGCTTGTTCCATTATCATATTTGGGGGGTAGATAACTTGATTCTTGACTTTCACAGATGTAGAGATGGAGATAAATTGTGCCTAAGGGTTGATTATAGCCAGAGCTTCAGCCAAACCTGATTTAGGTGAATTTGATATTACTAACTTTTTCTCTGTTGAGTTTAGAACATATTTTTGACTTTGAGTTGATGCTATAATGAGTTGATGATGTCTGAGACCAAAAAAGTCATATATATATATATATATGAACAAATTTATAATACTTTATAATACATATAACATATTTTCTATATAAACACATAAATAATATTCTACCCAAAGAAAGCAGAATACACATGTATTTCTAGTACCTATGAAGCATTCACCTAAGTAGAGCAATACAGGACTATTTAAGAAACCTCAACAAATTTAAGAGAATTAAAATTACACAGAATTTGTTCTCTAACTGTAATGAAATCAAACTAGAAAATCATTAACAGAAATACAACAGGAAAATATCCAAACAGTGGAAATTAAACAACATACTTGTAAATAACCCATGGTCAAAAAGGAATTTTCAAAAAAATATAAAGAACAGAATACAAGAGAAAATACAATATATCAAAAACATGGAAATATAGATATAGCGGCGCTAAGAGGGAAATTCTTAGCACTAAATGCTCACATTACAAAAGATAAAATATCTTAAATCAATAATCTAAGTTTCTGCCTCAAGAAAATTGAAAAAGAGGAACAAAATAAATCCAAAGAAAGCAGAAAATTTAATGAAATTTGATAAATGAAAACAATAGAAAATCAAACAATAGTTTCACTGTAAAACTCTGCCAAACATTCAAAGAATTAGAACCTATTTTGCACAGTCTATTCCAGAAAATAAAATAAAGAAGGGAAAATTTCCAACTCATTTTATGAAACTGTATTACTCTTGTATAAGTACACTATTACTTTTATGGCAAAACCAAAAAAAGATATTACAAAAAGGTATGCTACCAACAAATGTCTTTCATTAACTTAGACACAAAAAAAATCCTCAACAAAATAGTAATGAACCAAATCCAGCAATGTATGAAAAATGTGCACTATGACCAAGTGGGATTTATTGTGGGAATGCAAGCTGGTTCAACTTTCTAAAATCAATTACTATAATCCAACCAACATATTAACAACCTAAGATGAAAAGTCATATGATAATATCACTGATGCCTGCAAGATGTTTGACAAAATCCAACACACATTTATGAGGAAAAGTTCTTAGCCAGTTAGTAACAGAGGGTGAATTAACTCAATTTTATAGAGTATCTACCTGTAAGTAACATCACACTTAATGGTGAAAGACTGAGTATTTTTACCCTAAGGTAATGATGTCTGCTCTTTCCCCTCTTATTCAACATAGGATCTGGAAGTTGTAGCTACTGTAGTAAGTCAAGAAAAAGAAATAAAATGCACCCAGATTAAAACAGAAGAAATAAAAGTATTTCCATTTGCAGATATCATCATTGTTTACATAGAAAATTTTAATAATTCTATGTTTAAAAATCCTAAAAATAAAAAGGAATTCAATAAGGTCCCAAGAAACAAATTCAATATAAAAAATTCAATCTCATTTATATATACAAATAATGAACATGGAGATATCAAAATGTGAACATACCCTTTACAATCACGCCCTCAAAAACAGAACTAATTGGTATACATATAACAAAAAATGTACAGGATCTGTTGGCTGAAAATTACAAAATGCTAATGAAAGAAATCAATAAATCAAAGGATCAAAGTAAATGGAAAGACATATTATATTCTTGAATTAGGAGACAACATGGTGAAAATGTCAATTCTCCCCAAATTAATCTATAGGTTTAATGCAATTCCTACCAAAACACCAGCAAAATTTTTGTAGACATAGACAACCTTAGGCTAAAATTTATATTGAAAAGCACATATGCTACAATATCCAAAATAGTCATTACAAAGAAAAATAAAGAGAAAATAGTCACGCTACCTAATATTAAAGCATGTTATATATCTATATTCATCCATACTATATGGTACTGGAAAAGGATTAATAGATACATCAATGGAACAGAATAGAGAGATTATTCTGTTCTCTAGAATACGCCTAACAGAAATAGACCCAAATAACTATGCTTAACTGATTATTGATAAATATGCAAATATACTTAATAAAATATAGGCTTTCCAAAAAATGATGTGGAGCAAATGCATCTAAACCTCACATCTTATACATAAACTAAATCAGAATAGATTTCAGATATAAACGTAGTATATAAAACTAAAAAATAAAAAACTTTTGGAAAGATTTATAGGAGAAAATCTTTAGGATCATGGACTCAACAAACTCTTCAACTTGTCATCTAAAACATGATACTTAAAAAGAAATAATAATCAATTACTTCTCATCAAAACTCAACATTTTTGTTACACAAAGGACTTTGTGAAAAGGATGAAAAACAAGTTACAGATTGTAAATAATTTGCAGACCAAATGTCTAACAAGGGCTAACTTCTAAAATATATCATGAATTTTCAAAACTCAACAGTTAAAAAAAGTAAACAAAACAAACACAAATTTAGAAAATGGCCAAAATAACATGAACATACTTTTCACCAAAGAGGATATATAAAAGAAATATTCAATATAATCAGCCTCAGGGACTTGCAAATTAAAACCATAATGAAGTATCATTATACATCTATCAGAACAAATAAGATTTTAAAAATAATGACACCACCAAATTCTGGGAAAAAATCAGAGCAATTGGATTACTTATACTGTGAAATGTTATAGCTACTTTGAAAAACATTTCATCTTTTTTTAAAGCTAAATATGTGATGAGTTTATATCTAGAAATTGTATTCCTGGGCCTTTATGACAGAGAAATGAAAGCACATTCACATAAAAACTTGTGCACAATATTCATAGCAGCTCTATTTGTCATAACCAAAACCTAAAAACATCCCATATATTCTCCAACAGATGAATGGATAAACAGATCATTATACATACACATATATGTACACACACACGCATATATGGAATACTACTCAGCAACCAAAGGAAATGAATTATTGATAGATGCTACAACACAACATGGATGAACCTCTGGGGAATAATGCCGAGTGGGGGGCAAAGGCCAATTAAAAAGATTACATAATGAATGTATGGTTCTCGTTTTATAATAGTTTTGAAATGACAAAAATACATTTTAGAAGTGTATTAATGGATGCCAGGGCTTAGAAACCATGAGGTAGGGGTGGTATATATGGTTATAAAAGCACAATATAAGAGATACGTGTGCTGATGAACTGCTCAGTATCCTCACTGTAGTGGGACCACATAGTGCTATACATGTGATTAATTGGTATGGAGCTAACACACACATACACCACACACACACACACACACACACACACACACACACAGTGTGCACTCCTGTGCAGAAATCTGACTAAGATAGGTGTATTGTATCAATGTCAATATCCTGCCAGTGATGTTATTCTATAGTACTGCAAAATATTACCATTGAAGGATAAAGTATACACAGCATCTTTCTGCATCATTTTTTACATCTACATGTAAATCTAAAATAAACTTAATAAAAATTTTAGCTTGAAAAATGGGCAGGTCCAACTCTGTATGATACGACACATCACTAATGTTTAAAGAATAATATCTTGAAGTTGATAGTGACTGTGACTACAAAACATTAACAGCAACTGACCTAAAATATGTTATAATATGAAAATCTATTATAGATGTTTATTCCCTAGTAATCATGGCCAATGAGAATAACTTGAAACTGTCCTCATAAGATTAGTAATATAATAGAATTCACTGTTACGTAGAAACAACTTCCAGCTTTTCATCTCTTAACAGAATAATTTTGCTTTCTTTAATACCTCTCCATAAATCTAATTATTTAATACATTTCTATGAGATTCTCTCTTGTTCTAGAAGTTTTCTCCTCTCGTCTAACACAAAATGTATTGGGAGGATTACTATGTATTTGCCCTTTTTTGTATTTATGGAGTTTAGTTTCAGTTCCCAAATAGGTGGTAACAGTGTAGACAGATGTGTTAGGCTCCTTAACATGTTAAATGCTGAAATAACTCTAGGGATATGAAGGATAATCATGCAAATATGGGAGGAGGCCTTGTCTCTTTTTGGGTGAGAAATATCACCCAAGTATCTGATCATTTTACCTAAAAAATCAAGTCCTTAGTTGAATTTGTCCAACTGGCTCTAACAAATTTTTAATTTCCCTGAAAGTGCATGATGAAATTTGAGTAGGTACAAAGAACATTTTGAATGAAATATAAATGAGTATAAAAACCAATGATTTCTTCATTTATTAAAAATGTTAGCAACTTACTACAGAATGGATATCTGCCACTAGTATCCAAAAACACAGTGGTCCTAAGAGTTCCTTCTTGCATTCTTTCTTTCAAAACTCCTTTTAATAGCTCAGCTTGATAACCTGAGATTTGAGAAATGAAACATTAGAAATTGGGCTTCCACCAAATATAATAAGAAAAATTTCAAATCACTGAAGTGACTAAAGGATAAATGCAAATAATCATCATCATAATCATCATGGATTTTTATAACTTACATGACATTTTTTTCAAATAATGTAGCATTCTATTTATAATAATTACAATAAAAATTCTTAAATTCAAGAATCAGTAATAAATTTGCTCCCTAAAACCTTATCAGAGTTTAACATACTCCATATGGCTATAGTCCACTTGCAGCAGCTTTTACTATTATATTTTAATTTTAGAAGTGTACTTGTAATTTTTGTAGTAAATTTAGCAGAGTAACTTGATTATATAAAACTTAAACTGCAATTTAGCTCCATGAGTACAGTCCCCAATTCTCTATACCTACATATAAACAGATATGGTATGGCTATATATACATTATATATAGTATATACTCACACATAGGATAATGAGACTTTATACACTACATATTGTGGATATGATATAATATATATCTCAGATACATACATTATATGTATATAGAGAAATATATATTATATATTTACATATTTATAAAATATAATTATAAATATATTCCTTATATTTATTCATGTGTTTATGCATGTATTTCTTTTTTCCCACATTGCTACCTTTAAATTTGAGATTTGAATGTAGTAGAAAGAATACTAAATTGAGAATTCAGAGGTTTAAGTCTATTTCTTACTTTTACCCTTAAGCAATCCATATTCTCACTCTGGATTACAATTTGCTCGTGATATAAAAAAGGATGGGACCAGAAAAGCAATCCATAACATAATGTCTAAAGAAAATGAATCCCACATGATGTCATATACACAGAAGAGGTCTATGAAAAAAAATAAAAATTTGACAAAGCCTGCATATTGCATGCCCCCCCTAGAAATTCTCCATGTGCATCAGTCCTACTGAAGAACACTAGTAGCATATGGTTTAATTTAGCCTCGTTTTGCTACCCATTCCTTGAACCCCTTTGGCTTTGGAAACATTTTGGGAAAATCCTATCCTGATACTGAGCAGATATTTACACACTCATTATGTGCTTGGGTCTTGCATTCTCTTTGAAAAATCCTAAACAAACAGCCTCTGAAATTCTTTCTAGTTCTTGTATTCTATTTTTATGTGGATTCTTTTTTCTGTATAATTTCCTATTGGCAGGCTTTATGTATCAGAAGCTTCAATGCATAACTGTTCTTACCAAGCTTTATCAATTTAAAAGGTGTGAACCATGTATGATTCATGTCTACTTGCTAATAGCAAATGAAAAGCTAACTATGATTCACACCTCTTCACTTGCTTCTAAGCTTTGCCATTAAATAAAAATCCCCTCAGAGCTGCCAAGAATGTGCAAGTTTCTTTCTTTAAATGGAAAAATGGTTGGATGATACAGTTAGATCCTTTTGTACATCAAGAACAAGGATCATTGCAAGGCCACAAAATTTGCCCACTAAATTGAGCATAGAAAGGCAGTTGACCAAGTTCCTTTCATTAAATATCTGAAATTATTTAGGAGAAAATGAAATATTTATTCTGGTTGTACCACATCTCCATAATTTTTCCAAAAAAATGTAAACATATTAACAAGTAAATATAAAGCATAGTTTCGCTTCCAGAAGAAACCACAAACACAATAATGTTATTCATTTTCAGAAGGAATTATAGTAACTATAACCACATCTCTTACCTAGCCAAGGACATGATTTTTCGTTAAATCTGTCACAGTCCACACATAAGCTAGTCTTGTAATCTTTGTATGAATGACAAGGAAACGAAATAAAATTGCAGTGTGTTTCCAAAGATGCCATGAACAAGTAAACTGCTCTCTGGTGGTCACATTTAATATATTCAATTCCTAAGGGTTAAAAAACAAGCAAAATAACTGTAGGTGTATAAAGCCAAGTTCAAGTAAATTAGAGAAAAGTTAAAGAATAAATTCTACTAAACACAATGTACCTTATTAATACTAAAGTGTTGATAATAATACACAGTTTTATCTCAAGTCACTAAAATAGTATCACTGAAACTTAAATTTAGTATGCCTTTTGTGTGATATTTATAATAAATTTTCTAAAGTAACGGTTAACAAAGATGTTAAATTTCTATGATTTAATAAGCTCTACATGCACAGGGTCACTGTACTTAATAATTAGAGTACACATCTCTACCTTCTACATCTGCACCCCTAACATTTCCACCCAATGTCAGAGATGATTATGAAACCAGGTGATATTAAAATTTTATAATTATCTTTCCCTTTCCAACCTCTCACATCCTGGACTTTTTGGCCAAACATCTCTAGCTACAGTGGCCTCTGGCCTTGTGCCATTTGGCCAGTTGCCACTGTGGACCGAATGACATTTTCTTTGCTATGCCTCTGAAATGAGCCATATTATACTCCTGGAGCAGCTGCTCAGTTATCTCTATGTACAGGACAAGAAAGTGTCAAGAGCTTATGTTTTGTGTTTGTAAAGTAATATCGTGATAGTAAAGTTTAAATCCTTAGGTCAAACTTTGTTATACAATATATTCATGCTTCCTCAATGATTTGTAATTTCTGCTAATGTTTAAAGTAATGAATTAAAACTATTGAGACTATAACATAATAGGTCTCATCCATGACCAAATGAGATGTCTACTGGTTATCTTTGAGAACTAAGCAGGGTCAATTTAAACAATTTGTGGTCAATAACTCCCCTGCATCATGGGCAATGGTGATGAAACCAAAATATTGCATGTCATTCTAAAACACTGTCGTATACCTGAAAAAATTGATTTAGGACAGCCAGGTTGTTTTGTTCCTCCATTTGGGTAAAAATCTATATGTCCCAATGGTTCTTTGATACCTAAACCTGAGAAGAAAAGCAACCAAGAATCACAAAGTGTACATAATCAGGTCACTAGCTTGTACAAAACAAAATCTCTTATAAAATCCATTGAAAGTGACTCTTTAAAAATTCAAATTAAAAATGACATAAATGCTATTTTTTAAAATATGAGTTTTATTGTATTAATTCTTCAAATTAATTCTTCATGAAAGTTATATTTCATTAATTTAATATGTTTACTAGTCACCAGTTTACTATAGGTCAGTCACAATCTTTTATGCTATGAGGACATAAGTAAGTGAAAGCAAAAATTCTTGTAGTAGTGAAAAATACATTCTAATGGAAGGAAGACATAATAAACAAGTAAAAATACAGTATTTCAGATAATAAAAGCTATGGAAAAAAATTAAGTAGAGCAAGGGAATAGAAAGTGCTGAGTGAGGGTGATAGTTGCACTTTTTAAGTAGATTGGTTAGGAAATTTCCTGCTGAAGAGGTTGGAGCTGAATGAAGTTGTGAAGGAAGGTCAACTTTCTAAATACGAGCAAAAAAGCAAAAAAAAAAAAGAAAAAAGAAATTCAATGATATCCAACAATTTTAGAGATCTGTGAAATTTCCTCATACGTGAACTCAACATGGAGTTCCAACACTAGGGGTTCCGGTTTGAAGCCACCATTCTCCCATTCTCTCCAACCTGTCACTGAAGTAGAATCAACCAACAGGACTGCTTAGGAATCGGGGGGAAGCAAAAGATATGTGATTATCAACTTACAAGCAGCCCTTGATTCAGTCAGGTCATTTCCCTTTTATCAGATGGAGGGGGCAGGGCAGCTTGCTCTGCTTGGGTCATTCATTCCCTTGGTTTCAAGAAGGGTGGGGACAGCAGATATGGCTTTTTAATTTTCCTTTTATTGTAAAATATAACACACATGCAGAAAAGAACATAAAATGTAAAGCTATAGATTAATTAATTATTAGAAAGCAAATAGCCAAGGGAGTGGAGTAGCTACCACTCACTTGTCAAGAAATAACACCTAGGAGCCTCCAGTGTGCTCTTACCCAATCCCAAGCTTCTCTGCTCCCCTAAAAATAACAGCCATCTACTTTTTTATTAAATCACTTTTTGTTCTTCTTTATTTTTTAAGAATGCCTCCTAAAACCCTATAGTTTAGATTTGTCTATTTTGAAAATATATATCAGTTAATTCATATTTTACATATGCTTCTGTGTCTGGATTTTTTTTTAATTATTAGTATGTTTGTGATAATTAAGCCACAGTGTCAGGTGTAAATGTAGTCATTCATTGCTGTATAGTATCTCATTGTATTAACATACTACAACTTATTTATTCATTCTCCTATTTATTCTTTCTCCTATTGGTGAATATTTGTGGTGTTTCCAATTTGGAGCTAATATGTGTTAATACTATAAATATTCTTGACCACATGTATTAATGCATATATGAAGGTATATCTGTTGGTTATGTACCTAAGAGTAGAATTCTTCAATTTTTGTCAAAGTGGTTGTATTACATTCTTTTCAATAAATGGTCCTATCATGCTTTTTGATTTTAGGCATGTGGTATTTCACTGCAGTTTTAATATTTACTTTTCTTCTTACTAACTTTAAGAAATTTTCATGTTTGTTGCCTATATGAAAATTTTTCTTCGTTAAATGTCTGTTCACATCTTGATTTTTTTTTAACTAGGTTGTCTTTGTCTTTATTATTGATGCATAGTGGGTTTTTTAAAATCACTTTTCCTACTTTTTTTGGCTTGCTGTTCACTTTCTTACAGTGCTTTTTGATGATCTCAATTTTAATGCAACCAGACATTTTAATATTTTCATTTGGGTTAGAAATTTTTGTGTATTTTGGAAAAAATTATGTTCTTTATCGCAATGTTTTGAAGATTTTAAAATAATGCTTATAGACAATCTATTTTCCTTCCACATTTATACATACCATAGAAAAAGAAGTTTTGTATTTTATGTGAGTTAGAGACTTTTTTTTTCAACTTCAGTATGCAATTAACTAAAACAGAACGACTTCGTGTCTTCTTTGTCCTTTGTTTTTTTCTAAGAATTGATCAGTTTTAGACAGTGATATATGAAAATCAAACATTCTATATTCTTTTCATTATATGAAGGTGAAAGTGACATAAATAAATTTCAAAATAATAATTATTTTTGTCCTTCCCAAAGTATAAAATTTTTTCATAGCCCAGTGTATAATGATTCTAATATCTGGATGCCTGTGGATCTTGTCTGTTGTTTCTGCTGGTTTTTATTCATGCTGGCTTGCTTTAAGTGTGCCTGGTTATCTATATTAGGATGCTAAACATTTATTTTTAAATATTTTTGTGAAAATAATTTGAGACCAAAGGTGATGTTATCTTCCTACAAAGAAACCAGTTGTTAGCTTCTGTTAGGTAACTGGGAGCTCCAATGATCTAGAATCTACTTTAAAAAACTCAGTAAATGAGATTTTTCTGGAAAACTCTGATGAAAGAACCCTGGATAAAGACCTTTAAAATGTTGGTTTACTTCAGGTTTGCTCTTACAGCAATAGTGCTATAGTTTGGAGTCCCAAACAAGAGTAAAAGATGAGATGCTGTGCAAGCCCTATGTGAGAATTTCAAAAACACTTTCCAGTCTCTGCATCAGAAAACCTTCCATCAAAAATGTGATTGCAGGCCAGCACGGTGGCTCACTGTAATCCTAGCTCTCTGGGTGGCCGAGGCATGCGGATTGCTCAAGGTCAGGAGTTTGAAACCAGCCTGAGCAAGAGTGAGACCCCATCTCTACTATAAATAGAAATAAATTAATTGGCCAACTAATATATATAGAAAAAATTAGCCAGGCATGGTGGTGCATGCCTGTAGTCTCAGCTACTTGGGAGGCTGAGGCAGTAGGATTGCTTCAGCCCATAAAAAAATAAAAATAATTTAAAAAATGGGATTGCAAACTACCAGCTCACCTCCCTTGATTTTTTATAACTTTTGGATGATGGATTTTGGTCATTTTCTTCAATATCTCAAAAAAAATGTTTGCCCAGTTTACCTAATCCACAAATCTAAAAGGCCACATGGCTTCTTTAACACATGGAACTGAATAAGGACAAGGATTGTAGGCAAATAGAAGATGAAGTAATTGGTCATAATTCAAGGAAAAGCCAGTCTGGCAGGTATGTGCTGAACCCAAGTATCTCATTCAGAAATTCCCTAGGACAGGTGAATATGCAGTGTCAAAAATCTGTGTTCCTTAATAGTGATTGGCATAAAAAGATCAATCAAAGGTGCCAGCCATGTGGCATCTAGTGGCAGATTAGACATGATATGTTGAGTCATCAAAAGATGAAGTGGGGAGCCGGGCGCGGTGGCTCACGCCTGTAATCCTAGCACTCTGGGAGGCTGAGGCGGGCGGATTGCTCGAGGTCAGGAGTTCGAAACCAGCCTGAGCAAGAGCGAGACCCTGTCTCTACTATAAATAGAAAGAAATTAATTGGCCAACTAATATATATATAAAATTAGCCGGGCATGGTGGCGCATGCCTGTAGTCCCAGCTACTCGGGAGGCTGAGGCAGCAGGATTGCTTGAGCCCAGGAGTTTGAGGTTGCTGTGAGCTAGGCTGACGCCATGGCACTCACTCTAGCCTGGGCAACAAGCGAGACTCTGTCTCAAAAAAAAAAAAAAAAAAAAAGATGAAGTGGGGATGATTAATGGGTGCAAAAATATAGTTAGAATGACCAGGATCTAGCATTTGATAGTACAATAGGGTGACTATATTTAACAATAAGTTATTATATATTTGAAATTATCTAAAATAGTAAAATAAAAATGTTCCTAAGACAAAGAAATGATAAATGCTTTAGGTGACAGATACCCGGATTACTTTGACTTTACTATTACACATTGTATGCCTATATCAAAACATCACATGTACCCTATGAATATATACAACACACTATTACATACTTATAATAATTTAAAAATTTAAAAATATGTTGCAAACATAAGACAATCCAAGATGCACTCTTTTAGGATAAGTCAAAAATGCAAACAAAAATAATAAAAAGTATGAAGAGGTAATTCAAAAGGTCATTGGCAGAATTAAAGTTAGAGTTTCAGAAAGACTTAAGGCAAGGGAATACAGTGGAATTGGCCAATAGGTGTGTTATGTGTGGATGTACTAAGTTGAGATAAAGGGCTAGAAATAAAAAAGACATGAAAGGTTGAGATCTCATACTAAAACTATGATTTTTTAGTCATTGACTTCTTATAAGAAGTAGGTGAACCTACATTCAAAAAAAAAAAAAAGAAGCAGAATTCTTCCATTATAAGTCTAATGGACATATAATATGTAATCATGGAAGTTGAAAATTTGTTATCTATGGCATTTATATATTTCACATACAAACAAAAAAAAAACTGGTATGGATCACCACAAGATAAATTCAGAATAATATGGAAGCAATTATACCACCTGGATAAAAGAGAACCTGAGGGAACAGGGAAATAGAAGCAGTTTTAATGTCACTTCCTCTTGTCTCTCTTTTAACACCACACCCTCTCCATATCCACAACTGCAATACACCTTCTCACTGTTATTCTGATTCAGTTAACCAGAATAACATATTGGTTAAGTGCAGACACTGGAATCAAAAGATAGATTTCAAATTCTGGTTGTGCCAATCATTGGCCTTGTAACCTTGACTCTAGTTTCCCCATGTGTAAAAGGGGAATGTTAATGATTAACTATCTCACAAGGACTTGGAAGATCACACAAAACACTTAAAACACTGCCTAAGGAATTGGAACTATTCAATAAATATTAGTACTATCAGATTCAAATCAGGAAAGGCATAATGACACTCTATTCCTTAGAACTGCCTGTCCAACATACTCTTGCAAAAATTCCAATATCCTGTTAGGGATGTTTGAGTAAGACAACTAAGAATAGAGAAATTACTTCTGAACCACTAGGGGTAACTAATCTTCTTCACCTATGGCTGAAATGCTGTGCTCAGCTCTGGTCAATATACATCAGAGCAAGAAAACAAGTGGAGAGAATGTCAACCTAAATATATCAGGAACATTAAACACTGGTGGAAATGTGATCAAATCAATAAAACTGTTAGTAACATGAACAGGATAAATTCTTATTTATCTGTTTCAATGTTTTAGGATGAAATGACAGTTCCTGAAACCTGAAGGAGGTAAGCTGAAGAAAAAGAGTGCCATTTGACAATGCAGAAAACCACTAACCCCAAGAAATATTGCTAGTGGAAAATATTATCATACTATAATTATAGATTTTAAATCATTTTATCTACAACACTTCCTCCTTCTATGTTCTTCTCTCCTTCAGAGTCTACATTTCCTTTTTCCACTTTCAAATAATTAAGCAGTAAATCCTGCATGGTTACCATTGGAATCAGAATGGATGACATCCACAAACTTTGCATCAGTGTAATCTAATCTGCTATATGACGGTTTTCCAGAGAATTTTGGGCCAGCAGGGTCAAGACCTGAAATGAAAGAAAAAAACTATCAATCTAATCAAGTCTACAGTGTTAATTATATTGCATTCTTGCATTATTACTACATGATAAGCATAATAAGCATATATAGTTTTAGTTTAAATCTATCAACAATATATCTAATGATAAATGGAAGTGGATGAATTCAAAATACCTTCATTATTTGAGTAATACTACTAATCTTCAGAGGTTATCAAGTTAAGCCACACTACAGAGGCATCAGCAAAATATTATAGAATTTTTTGGAGCATTTTTATTTAAGAAGTAATTAGGAGTAAACCAGTAGTAACTTTATATTAAATAATAATTACTACTTTTCCTGAGGTGGGGAAGGAAACAATGAATACCATCTTGTCCTCTCTTGAATCTGTACTTTACTATGAATAGTTCACTGTGCATATATCTGTAAGTCTAAAATGCTTTTTTAGGTGCCAAATGTAATTTGGGCTATGGGGTAAAACATAGTATTCTCTTATCATTCATTACTCACAGGAGTTGCCCATACACTTTCAAATAAAAATATATTAAAAATTCCATGGAACTGCTGGTGGGATTGCAAACTAGTTCAACCTCTGTGGAAAGCAATATAGCAATACCTTAAAGCGGTACATGTAGATCTACAATTTGATCTAGCAATTCCACTACTGGGCATATACCCAAAAGATCAAATGACACTCTACAAAAAAGACAAATGCACTCGAATGTTTATAGCAGCACAATTCACAATTGCAAAGTTGTGGAAACAACCCAAGTGCCCATCAATACATAAGTGGATTAATAAAATGTGTTATATGTATACATGGAGTACAATTCAACTTTAAGAAACAATGGTGATATAGCACCTCTTGTATTTTCCTGGATAGAGCTGGAACCCATTCTACTAAGTGAAGTATCTCAAGAATGGAAAAAGAAGCACCACATGTATTCACCAGCAAATTAGTATTAATGGATCAACACCTAAGTGGACATATAGGAATAACATTTATTGGGTGTCGGGCAGGTGGGAGGGGGGAGGAGGAGATGGGTATACACAAACATAATGAGTGAGACGTGCAACGTTTGCGAGATGGTCACGCTTGAGGCTCTGACTCGAGGGGGAAGGGGGAACATGGGCAATATACGTAACCTTAACATTTGGACCCCCATAATATGCTGAGATAAAAGGGTTATAGGGTTAGGGTTAGGGGATATGAGGAGGCCGGGCTCAGTGGTTCAAGCCTGCAATTCATCAAGGACTGAAAGCCCCGAGTCAGAGTGCCTGCGGACATTCCATGGAGTCACTCATTAATAGTTTTAAGCATCTACTATATGCCAAGCTTTTTTTCTATGCTCTGGGGACAAAGTGATGAATACAAGAGACTACAATCCCTGCCCTAATTAAGTTTACATTCTAGTGAGGACTGGAAAAAAAACAAGCCTCTCAGCTCTTTTTTAAATAACATTTTCATATAAAGCTCACTGGTTTTCGTTATTGGTCTTGACACTCCTACCTGCTTCTCAAAAGGATGTGAAGTGAATTTTAACAAAAATACGTGTATCAGTCAGTTGCAATAAAGACTTTTTAAGAGAGAAAAAAATATTCTATGGAGTATGGATATTATTTTTCAGGTATCCTAAATTCTAAATAAAAATATAAGTTCATGACCTTCTGGAGAGTATCAAAAAGATGGGGGAGGAGCTAAACATTTATGCAATGGAAGAAAAAAAATCATCTTGATAAGGTATTTTAAAAAGTAAAATATAATGTTTATCTCAGGCCCTTCTATTATCCCTATTTTATTTAGCTCACTTGACTGAATAAGACAGAAACTCCTCTCTTCCTGTAAATTATTCTGATGTAGAACTTCCACATTTTCTGGCCTTTTAAACCATAACAGTTTTCTGGTAGTTGGGGTCATTCAAACTGGACTAATATGTATAAACACAATTTAAAATAAAGTAGGATTATCACCAGTTTAAATTGAGCAAGTATAGTCCTTGAAGGGGAATGAGCTTCAGGTGCTAAAAATGTTTATATAAATCCTGGCTTAGCTGTGGCGTTGTGACCATCCTGCATTCATTCATTTAACCTCAGTTTTTACATAGGTACAATGGGGTCAACATTAAAACCGATCAGAGTAAGTCAGGGCATCCTCGAGGGTAATAAAAATCCTAACTATCTATATAAGTTATTCACCTCTCTCATCCCCCTTTTTTGGCAATTTAACTAAAGACTTGTTATTAACTAAAAACTTGCTATTACCTTTTATTCACACTTGAAATTATTACAAATCTTCTATGAACAGAGACATCAATAAGAAGAAGAGGTAAATTGGTTGGGGAGGAATATTATCCTTCTCTTTCTAAAATTACTAATACCACTAAAGGAAAGAGTGAAAATTTATGTCAGAATTATTCAGTTACTGACCTTTCTGGATGCAGTACATTTGTTATGGAAATATGAGGGAAACTTGGATCCAGACCCCTTGAACTTGGATATCAACTCTTGATTCTCTTCTGACATTTAAGTAGAATTTTTGAAGAATTGAAATACATCAAGGTTTGTGAGAATTAGGTACATAGTTAAATTCCTAGCTAATATATGAAGTATTTTCTATTTAATGGGCGAAATTTTCCTCTGTATTCTTACATTAATGTGTCCTTAAAATGTAAATAGGAGTGCAGAAATAAATCTTTTTCTCCCATTCTATCTGGGTAACTTAAGCTTTGTTAAAAACTTAATAAGACTTTCAAGTTTAACTAAAACAAAGACTAATAAATATTTGAGTATAAGATAGAAAAAAAGTTTATTGTACCTGTTAAATTTTAAATAAAGTAATTTCTGCTGATTAAAAGTGTGCTAAAACAATACTTTTATAAAAATTAGTTTTACCTGTTATTCTCCCGAGTTGGCCATGAAATGTCTTTCCAACAAATCCACTAATATGAGCCCCTAAGCTCACACCTATGAAATGAAAATTGTCAAGAGATGCTCCATGCTTCTGCAATTGAAAATGCAGTGTTACAATATTCATTTGAAGTAATCACAAATCATGTACCATCCATCAACATTTAAAATTTTTTTTCTGGGTTAATTCATTTCTGGAAGATAGGGAAGGAGACTTTATAGTTTCAGAACAACTATGTATTTGTTCAACTTTTGCCATAAAATATTTGATTTTTCTCTAATTCATTTTTAATAATCATACCATTAAATTTCTATTTAAAAATTTAAAATTTTTATCATCTCTTATATAAATATATGTAAAATGATGATTTAATTAATAATGCATTTTTATAATAATAATTAATGTTACTAAGTGCTTACTTTGTGCTAGCTACCTTGATATGTGCCTTATAAATCTTATAATTAATATTCCCAATTACCTCATGAATTATTCATTTTTATTCTATTGCTTAAATGTCCTTGGTACCAATTAAATGCTAAAGAAATATTTGATCAATTCCCATTTTATTAAGGAAACAGTGTCAGAGGTTAATGACTTGCCCAAAGCCACATATATTTATAAAGGGAAAAGATAGATTTTAAGCAGCTATGATCTAAATATTTTGTCTCCCCAAAATTCCTATGTTGAAATCTGAACCCCCAAGGTGATGGTATTTAGAGGTGGGGCCTTCTTAGAGGTAAAAGAATTGTGTAATGAGGGTGGAGCCCTCATGAATGGGATCAGTGTCCTGATAAAAGAGGCCTGAGGGAGCTCCTTTTACTCTTCCACCACAAGAGAACTCAGTGAAAAGGCACTATCTATAAACCAGGAGTTAAGCCCTCACCAGATACCCAATCTTTAGGTGACTTGCCCTAGGACTTCCCAGCCTCCAGAACTGTGAGAAATAAATTGTTGTTGTCTATAAGTACCCAGCCTGTGGTATTTTGTTATAGCAGCCTAAACATACTAAGATACAAACCCAGGTCTGTTTAACTCCAAAATTTATACTGATCTGCTAATCTTGTTTTATCTGATAAGATTGTGTCAAATAGGTCATGTCTAATTATATAATTATCCACTTAGACAAAAAGAAGATGGCTGAATACCTTAGCACATCAAAGCAGTAATTCTTAATACATATGGGGAAAATTATATATTTTATTACCACTTTGTGGTACTGCATAACACACTGTATATTGCATAGCATGTAGAATGCATAAAATTCCCAAACAGGCCGGGTTCAGTGGCTCATGCCTGTAATCCTAGCTCTCTGGGAGGCCGAGGTGGGCGGTTTGTTCGAGCTTAGGAGTTCGAAACCAACCTGAGCAAGAGTGAGATCCCATCTCTACTATAAATAGAAAGAAATTAATTGGCCAACTAATATATATAGAAAAAATTAGCCAGGCGTGGTGGCGCATGCCTGTAGTCCCAGCTACTCGGGAGGCTGAGGCAGCAGGATTGCTTGAGCCCAGGAGTTTGAGGTTGCTGTGAGCTAGGCTGATGCCACGGCACTCACTCTAGCCTGGGCAACAAAGTAAGACTCTGTCTCAAAAAAAAAAAAAACCCACAAAAAACAAACAAACAAAAAACACATCAGTGTCACTAAAGTTGGTATTCAGCCCCCCACTGCTAAATTTGACTGGCTAAAAAAAAAAAAAAAAATTCCCAAACTTACCAAAAGATTTTTAATGTGCCTACTCAAATTCTCAGCAACTTTTCTGGTGTTTTTAACTGCTCTATTGTAAATAAAAGTTGTAGCACCCCGGTTCCAGTCTACTACAATTATGTTCACATCTTCTTCATTCAGCAAAATCCTTAGAAAGTTCCGAAGCCACGATGGAGTGGAGCCCATTGGTCTGTATCCATGAATAAGCCAAACTGTTTTCTTTTGTGTGTTGAAATTAATATTAAGTGAGTTATTTTGATCAAATAGTGGCTCAGCACAGTTTAGGTTGTTCCTTGTATACACCATCAGAATTATCTCTATTCTGGGATTAAATAAATCTTTGAAGGAATCCTTTACATTTAGCTGAGAAAATTCAAGGCATGGTCTTTTATTGTCTGAAATAGAAAATGTCAGTTAAACTGAGTACTGGGACAGTATTTGATTCCTATTGCTATTGCAAAGAACATAATCGAATGAAGAGGGTTGGGGGAATTTCATATCATCAGCCCTTCAACATGATTGACTGAGCAACTACAATGTTTAAAGTAATAAATTGATTAGGAAAAACACATTCTGAACAAAGTAATAAAAAAATTACAATTGAAAATCTGAATAAATGTAATTGTTTAAAAATTAAAAATAATTTTTTATCTTTACAAAATAAAAAAACAATAGCAACAGAGATGATGGAAATCATTAATATTTTCAAAAAAAAATTGTCATACACACTAATGAAAGTAGATAAGGTGATTATGAACTTTAATGGAAGGTTTACAGAATAGCACTTACATATGGATAAACATTAGAAAAAATATATTTTACCTGATCAGTGATCAAATGAAAACAAACCAATAAGGTATCATGTTTCTCCATAAAATTTTAAAAATGGAAATGTTTTTTCTAATACTCAATACTGGTGAGGGTAAATAACAAATATTCATATATATGAATGTTGAGATTATAAGTTGATATAGTATTCTTTTGAAATTTTACATGTGTGTAAACTTAACAAATACTTTTTTCTTGATATTTTTAGGATTTACATTAATGAAATAAACCATTTATATTAAATGTAAAGACATTAATCACAGAGTTATATATGATAGCACAAAATATAAAGCACTATAAATCTCACAATTATAGTATTTTATTTCATATATACATTCTATCCACTATGTATCTGTCTACCTATCTATCATATTAAACAGAATAAGAACAGGAAATAAAATTACTAAACATGATTAATAGTAATAGTAATTGCTAGGCAGTGAAATTATGGTTGCTTTCTTTTTCTTTTTCATAGTTTTTTTTATAAATACAATTTTTTCATAGCAGGTATATAATCCCAAGAGATTTTTTTTTTAATGAAAGCATGTTCTCATATTGCTTTTGGAATTTTAATTTGGTAAGACTATTTGGGAAAGCAATTTGTCAATCCATATTAAAAATTCACAAAACTATTAGTACACTTCATCTCAGTAATTCAACTTCTAAGAATCTCTGCCAAGAAAAATAGCCAGAAAAAGGAGCTAACATATATTATTTTAACACTGGAGATGATATGCTCTACTTGTAATAATTATAGTTTTCAAGTATATATACAATATTGATATAATTATCTAGAAGAAGAAAAAGGAAGAATGCAATGAAGGAGAAGCAAGACCTTCATTCAATTCCCAAGCAGCTGAGAGATACTTGGACAAATTATTTTCATTTGTTCTAAAGAGCAGGAGATGAGGGAATGGAGAGGAGACATATACTGAACCACAGTGCAATATAAATTCTTGTTATACTGTGAAAATTGTGTAGAAAGTCATGTACATCTGTCTTCCCACCAACTGGAACTTGGACAAGGGCCAAATGTTATCAATTCTTCCAAACTACTGGTTCACTGCAAGCCAAGGTAAATTTTACCTGGGCCTCAAATGAGTAATGAGGAATAATCCAGTAGAATCTCTGTGCTAAAAATAAGAGGAAGAAATTATCACTCAAAACAAATCTACAAAATCAGATGAAAAAGGGAATAATGAAGTATTTCCATTCGGAAAAGCTAAAAATTCACATTATAAATGCTGGAACAAACAGGGGAAGCTCTACTTATAGTAAGAAATGAAGGAAGAGAGAGTTCAAAATTATGGAGGGAAAAACATATATAGGACAGGGATTAATGATTTACATTAAAAATGATTGCTGTTCCAGGGGAGGCATTATTTTGGGAGGGGAGAGGGAAGTAAGCTACAATAATTAAGGAAATAATTGCATATCAGGGTTTGCGAATGAAAAATGCTCACCATAACCTAGAGAAAATCAGATAATGAAACTCACCAAGACACTTCCTAGAAACTGGTTTGGATTTCGATGAAAGAGAAAAATATCCTAAAAATATCAAGGCAGAAAATCCAAGTTATAATTCTCTATTTGTAGGAAGAATAAAGTTCTGAGGACTTCATATTTCTCTTCTAAAACAAAACATCAGATAAAAGTGTAATGAATGAAGGTTATAAGTAGAAGGGTTTGTGGCATAATATTTTTATACCTTTCCTAAAGTATGCCACTCATAAATGATACAGTACAGTTCCTGACATTGTCACTGTTAAATAAATGTTAGATTTTTTAAGACAAGATCCAGAAAAACTCACAGTATAAAGAGATTGAAAATGATCATGGAAACAAGTTAGACACTGATTTACATTTAAATATTATAAAACTATAAAACAAAAATGTAATATAAAAAGTTATTCTTTTATAGTATGTCCAAATTATACTAATAAGAGGGGAATGTTGGTTAAAAGGAGTATAGAGGAAGTAAGCATGGTGACAAAATTCCTCAACTAAGGAATTTATAAGATTTTAATTTTTTGGCTTTAATAAGTGGAAAAGTATGGGCTTAAAAAGATATTAAAAATCTTAAATGTTAACTTCTGCACTATATAAAATAGCACACATAAATTTCTACACACTAAAAATATAACACCATAGCAAACAATGAATATATGCAAAAGGCAAGGTGAAATGGAAAAGAAAATATATAGTAAAAAGCATAAAACAAAATGATAAAAATTATACTAGAGAAAAAACATAGATGATATGTGAACAGTGATGAGCTTGTATAAACTCTGCCTATTAAAAAGCAACAAAAATCTGCTTTTATAAAAGAAAATTTAAAGGACGTATGCAGAAAGTTTTAAATCAATGGAGAAGTAAGTATATTCTACACAAAATAAAAGGAAAATAGTTTAGTGTGTTATATTGCAATGATGGCTCTAACTCATCACTCTTTCCTGAATCCATGTCATTTGCCTTGAAACTCTGAGTTACATCATAAGTGGGATAACTTACCTCACTCTTTGAAATAGACATAAACATAGGACTTGTCCTAGCAAATTGGACCTTAGGATATTTAATGCAAACAGAGTCTTGCAATGAACTTACACATAGGGGCTTAGACTCCCACATCTGTGCCAAATATCATCACAGAAACACCCATAGTCTGGCCTGCTAGCTGACAAGAGACAGATGTAAAAGAGTAAAGTTCCCCAGGTGTGCTAGTCACTAAGTCACCCCAGCTGACTGACAGTCGACAGACAGACATGCTAGTGAACCCAACCAAGAAGAGCAGTGCTTCTTAAGCAACTCCCATCTGATTCCTACAAGTGTGGTTTTTGTTGTTGATTGTTTGTTTGTTTTTAAGAGACAGAGTCTCTGTTCCCCAGTCTGGAGTACAGAGCATAATCATCACTCACTGCAGGCTCAAACTCCTGGGCTCAAGAGATCCTTTTGCCTCAGCTTCCTGAGTAAGTAGAACTACAGACATGAGACCATGTCCAGTGTCCAGTAAGATTGTCAGTGTACCTCTCAGCATAAACCTTGCAGGCCAGAAGACTGTGGAAAGATATATTTAAACTGTTGAAAGAAAAATCTATCAACCTGGAATTCTATATCCAGAAAAATTATCCTTCAAAAATAAGGGAGAATTTAAAACATTCCTAGACAAACAAAAGCTGAGAGTTCATTACCACTAGATTTGCACTATATGACATGTTAATGCAAGTCCTTCAAATAAAGATTCGTAACTAGAAATCATAAGAAAATATGAAGTTCTCCGGTAAAGGCAAAAACACAAAAAATATACAAAACAGTATTATTGTAATTTTGATTTTTAGCTTTGCTTTCTATTTTCTACAGGATTTAAAAGACAAATGCATAAAAATAATTATAAATTTATGTCAAATAGTGCAAAATATATAAAGATGTAACCTGTGTCATCAGTCACACAAAGCAGGGAAGAACTGAGCTGTAAAGGAGTACAGAGTTTTTTGTTGTTGCTGTTATTAGAGTCAAGTTAGTATCAATTTAAGAATGGGTGTTAGAATTTTAGGTTATTATTTGTTATGCCCATGGTAACCACAAAGAAAATATCTATAGAATATACAAGAATGAAAATGAGAGGAGAATCAAAATATGCTGTTAATAAATTAACTAAACACAATGGAAGAAAATAATGGAGAAAATGAGAGACAAAAAGGCTTTAAGACATACAGAATACTAATAACAAAATGGTAAAACTGCTTCACTATCAGGAATTACTTTAAATGTAGATGGATTAACCACCCCTGAACCCCCAATTAAAGACATAGATTGGCAAAATGGATTTTAAAAAGTATCCAACTATACACTATAAGAAACTCATGTTAGACCTACAGATATGTATAGGTTGAAAGTTAAAGGATGGAAAAAGATATTCAATGCAAAAAGTAACCAAAGGAGAGCATAAATGCTACTACTAATATCCAAGGAAATAAGTTTAGGTTAAAAATTGCTGCAAGAGACAAATATTAACACATTATAGAGCCAAAATAGTAAAAACTTGTAGAATCAAACACAGGGGGGAAATCTTTATTACATTAGATTTAGCAACAATTTCTTTAAATATTACAAAAAAACCCCACAGGCAACAAAAGAAAAAATAGATAAATTGGACTTCATCAAAATTTAAAACATCTATGCATCAAAGGATATTATCAACAGAGTGAAAGGCAGTCCACTGAATGGAAGAAAAAATTTATAAATCATATCTCTCATAAAAGATTAATATTCAGGATATATAAAGAACCTCTACAACTCAACAACTAAAACACAACTCAATTAAAAGTGAGCAAAGAACTTGAATAGACATATCAAGGAAGATGCACAAATGGTCAACAAGCTCATGAAAAGATACTCAACATCACTAACAATTAGGGATATGTAAATCAAAGCTAAAATGAGATACTATTTCCAATGCATTAAGATACTTATTAGTAAAAAGGAAACAGAAAATAACAACTGTTGGCAAGGATGTACAGAAATTGGAACCCTTGTGCATTGCTGATGTGGATATAAAATGGTGCAGCTG